GACTCCATGACACTGCGAGTGTCATAAACAGGAGTCAATTACCAAGCATTTGAATTTTGATCACGTGAGGCATAGGGATACTGCAACAGTCATAAGTGCGAAACCTGTCATAAGTCACTTTTTTCTGTGCTGCTGTAACTTTAAATGGTCACTAAATGAACTGCTGTAAGTCGAGGACTGGCTGTATTTTACCTGTATGGAATAGAATTGTTTGAGCCACACTTGTTGCTTCTTTTTATTATATGATATATATTATATAATATATATATTATAATATATATATATATATATAATATATATATTATAAAAATATTACATTTTTATTATATGTGTTGATTCTTTTTATTATTATTATTATTTTATATATATATATATATATATCCACAGCAAAGGCTGCAGTTATTAACATATTTTTGAGGGAAACAAAAAGTCAGCAGCATAAATGCTTTGGGGATTTTTCTTCTTTTAATCCAACAAAACCTGTGCTCTTTGCAAGATCACTGAGGAAGTTATTTGGTTTCCTAAATCGTACAGAATAAATATTGCAGTCTGAAATGAAGTGCTAAAGAACAGCTGAAATATACAAGTGTAGAGATAATGAGAAGCAATGTTATGCTTAAGAATTCTGAAAAGGAGCAGAAGGCAATGCTAGCTTGTAGTTGACTGGATAAAATATTCATCCATTTATACAGTTACTATTCGACAATGCTAATTTCTTATTTTTCTTTTCTGGTGACTAAGAATACTTTTTAAACATATACAGGAGCTATCATTCTCAAAGCCTTTGGAATATTGATGTTTATTTCACTGTTCAAGCCGTATAAACTTTGACACCAGCCAGAATTACTTTATTATTTATTACTGTTATAGCCCATATAAATTTCCAGTCCTTCCTCTTCACAAATCATGCAGCAACAAAAGTAGATAATGCGTATAATAGCTTAAGCATGGTATGAATCTGGCCTCTGTGGTTTGTAAATCATGGTTTACGCCTCAACCCAATGTGAATTCAGCCAACTGTGCCTTAGAAAAATGCTCAAAGATCATGGTTTATGGTGAGGTCAACATAACTATTGTTTATCCTACCACCATTCCGGACAGGAAAGTTTTATTATAGGTTGCTTGTTCTGGTTTTTCTTTAGATTTTCCCCACCTAGGAAAACTGTGAATGTCCTTGGCTTTCAAATATGGGCTGAACTTAAAAATGCAAGATTTAGAAGAAGGTCTAAAAAATATTACATCAGCCCAAACAATATTTTTGGAAGATATACATGTATTTCATTAAAATAGGTTCATGCTTGCACTTTAGTAGTAACTTCACTCAACCGAGATGAAAAGATTGTTTTTATGAACTATATTAAGCTATATAATCAGAAAATCTCCATGTGTCATAATAAAAAAATCATATTTCATTGACATGTGAAAGTGTAGTTCAATCTCCTTGATAAGAATTCTATAATGTTGGATTCCTATGACTAAGAAACTAGTTTTAACTTAGACCTTTACCATCAATCTTGTATTCCTCTCTTATAGTCCCAGCAGACTAGACCAGTTGACTAATAACTGTTTTGCTTTTTTGTGTCTAAGGAAACATAATAGCTTATGCAATAATGCATTTCTTAAGATGCCACAAAACGCATTTATTTTCATACACCTAATGATAGTTGGTTTGGTCCTGTCCAAAAGACGGAATAAAATTCATAGCTGCATGTTTACCTACCCCCCTGATCTGCTGATGAAAAGCAAGTAATCTTTAATATTTCCTTAAGTTTAAGTTTAGTACACAAAATTGTCTGCTACAATGTTCTACTACCTGTCAATGACTACTTCAGCTTCAATCTCAATAATACACAGGCAAACGATAAACCGCTCCAAACTCGTTTGCAGAAAATACAACTTAGCAACAGAGTTGTAGCAACAGAGTGGTCAATGCCTGGAATACTGTACCTGACTCTGTGGTTTCTTCCCCAAACCCCCAAAACTTTAACCTTAGACTGTTTACTGTTGACCTTACCCCATTCCTAAGAGGTCTGTAAAGGGGCATACATAAGTGCACCAGCATGCCTACTGTCCCTGCCCTACTGTTCCCATTTATCCGTACTCATTTATTATGTATATACTTATACCTGTTTATACTTATATGTTTATATGTTATGTTCATAATTATACTTGTTTTCTCATACACACTTGGCAAATAAATAAACAAAATAAATAAAAATAAATAAGTTTTCCTACTAGGAGAAAAAAAGAAAAGAAACAAAGAAACAAAACAGATTATCTTCCTGTTGTAGCCAAAATTGCTTTGGGAAAATTGCCACAGTTGCCTTGATGTGTTTCAACTAAAGATTACATTTGTTCCATATGGCGAAAGCAGTAACATACAGGCAGTTGCATCTGTTTCCAAAACCATTTATTTAGCAGGGTGATATTTTAAAAACCGGTGGAATAGGGTCCAGAATTTAAATAACTGTAACTCAGAATAGGACTCTGTGGTCATAATAAAATTTTCTGCCTATTGGTTCAAGAGCGAGCTGCCCTCTACAGTTGGATATATTCCCAAATAAGTAGGCACAAGATCAGGGACATAGTAACAAGGATCTATGTAACTCGGAACAGCCTACACCAGCTGGCAGAAGCTTCTCAAATTACAGGTAACTTACAACAGCTCATTTAATGACCGTTCAAAGTTACGACGGCACTGAGGGAAAAAAGAGACTTATAGCTGTTTTTCACGCTTAGGAGCACTGCAGCATCCCCATGGTCAGATGAACAATATTCGGAGGCTTGGCAACTGACTCATATTTATGTCGGCTGCAGGGTCCCATGTTCACGTGATCTGCTTCTGTGACCTTCAGAAAAGCAAAGTCAAACGAGGAAGCCAGATTGACTTAACAACCCTGTTACCAACTGAAGAATTGCAATGGTCCACTTAATAATGGTGGCAAGAAAGGCCATTAAATGGGGCAAAACTCACTTAACTCTCACTCAGCAACCGAGCTCAATTGTTGTAAGTCGAGGACTACCTATATCAGGTGAGAACTTTTACTAGTCCCTACAGGTAGCTTGGAAATGACCCTGAAACCTACCTATAAACCAGATTCTTTATTCACAAGCTATACCCTTTTTGTTATGTCCAAAAAACAAACAAACACAGATTTCAGAATTATCCCACTGTAGTAATGAAAGTTTTCAGATTTGCAAGATTTTGTCAATGTAGCTTCCCTCTCTGTCTCTCCCTCTGTCTCTCTCTCTCCCCTCCTACACTCCTCCATCTCCCAAAGCCTTCCCCACATACCTTTTACAGAAAATGAAGTATCTACAACAAACTGATCGAAATCAAACAGTCTACAATGTCAACAATTAGGTTAACCACACCCATGGCCTGACTCAATATTTAATATTTATCTGGGTTTGCACAATATACTGACCCACAAATTCTGTTAAGCCGTCATGTCTTTAAATAATGGTCTCTTAAAGAGGCTAAAATACACGGTTCAGTCACCTGTCAAGCAATTGAAACCACGTATCCCAAGCTAAATCCACCCTAATCTGGTGCAAATCAAATGTGAACCACAAACCAGCCCAACTTTATTTTCAGTGTCATTAAGAGGCCATTGAGGATGGATAAAAGCAGACTGCACTGACTCCTCAGAAGAAAGTTTATGGTATGAGAACAAAAAAGTACATTTCGAAGAAAGCCAAAACATTTGCTCTGTATATCAAAGGTGCTTTTTTTCCAAGAGGCAACTGGGCTTTCTGGTTTTTCTTTGAAGACGTTTCACTTCTCATCCAAGAAGTTTCTTCAGCTCTGGTTGGGTGGTGTCAGAGATGAAGAAGCTCCTTGGATGAGAAGCAAAACGTCTTCAAAGAAAAACCAGAAAGTCCAGTTGCCTCTAGAAAAAGCACTTTTGGGATAACCATGACCTGGATGACTGAGAATCTCTACAGACTTTTAGCTATACAATTTGGATTTCCACAGAGGGGGGAAAAATTGCAGACTACAGAAACCAGGTGACCCCGAGGACACAGATAAAACCTCCAAATGGCCTCAACTACTCTCTAAAAATGATGCAAATGACCAGCTGTTTGCCAGGAATATCAGTCCTTCCATTCCCCACCATCCAGTCAGAGCTGAAGAAGCTTCTTGGATGAGAAGCAAAACGTCTTCAAAGAAAAAAACAAGAAAGTCCAGTTGCCTCTGGAAAAAAAAGCCCCTTTGGGACAACCATGACTTGGATGACTGAGAACCTCCACAGACATTTGCCCTGTATATCAATAAAATAGGACAAAAGGCAAAAATGCTTCTTTGGCAACTTGGCCTGCCTCAGAAAACCCACAAAACTCACATTTAACCCAATTTTATCCTATTTTCTGGATCCGCAGCTATTTTGTTTTTAACTCTATTTTTACCTTTTTTCATTCTCCCAACTTGCTTTCAGTGTCTGTCTATTCTATCTTTCTCTCTCTCTGTTATATCTATTCCAGGGGTCTTCAAACTTGGCAGCTTGAAGGCTTGGGGACTTCAACTCCCATAATTCCTCCTCCAGTCCATGTTAGCTCAGGAATTCTGGGAGTTGAAGACCACAAGTCTTAAACTTGCCAAGTTGGAAGACCCTTGACGCCAATGTGATAAAAGCCACACAACAACCCTGCGAGGTAGACCGAACCAATAGAGGAAGGGATCCAAAGCCGCCCAGGACTGAGGGGAGACTTAAACCCCGCTCTCCCTGCCCTTAGTCCTCCCACAGCGAAGGTTCATGCCTTCAAACCCATCATCCCCAGCTAAAAGAGAGGCAAGACTTTCTGGACTACAACTCCCACAATCCCTCGTCAGGGAGTTTCAAGCGGGGGGTCGATGGGACTTGAAGTCCACCTCCCGCGGCCCATTGCTCTCGTCAGGCCCCGCGGCGTCTCTCAGACCCTCAGGGGCCCGGCTGGGGCTCCCCACTTCCGGCCCAGCCGCCCCCCCCCACATCCGGAGCCACCGCCCCCAAACTCACCCTCAGCGGCTCGAGCAGCGCCTGTCAACTTCCACGGAGCAGCCGCTTCCGGGCGCGCCACCCACCATTCATGAACCAGCGCCCCGATTGGCCGGCCGCGCCTCTTCCTCCTCCGCGCATGCGCCCCAGGCCGTATCGATCCGCCCCCTCCTGCCCCGCCCCTTCGTGCTCTGCGCGCCGCGCCGATTAGCTCTGTTTTTCCCGGTCGCTCTTAGAGACGCCGGCCGTTCCGCTTGCTTTCCACCCCTCCCTCCGCGCGGCCTGCCCCCGGCTCTTCCTTCTCTTGCTCGCTCCTCCCCCCTCCCCTTACTCTCCTTTTTTTCCCCCCTTTCTCGGCCGAGTAGCTTTTTTTTTGCCCCCTTGCAGGAATCAGCAATCTTGCATTTTAATTTTTCCTCCTATTTTTATTTTTTATTTTATTAAAAAAATAGAAGGCAATCCAGGGAAGGCAACGGCGAGGTCCCACCTCCCCAAAAATGCCAATGGGGCAGGTTGGCACCTCCCCCCCCAAAAAACCTCGCCTGGTTGCAGCTTGCTTAGCTCAGCAGATGCAGCGTGCAAAGTGCTTTTCCCGAGGCACGAGCGGCTATAAATATTCCAAGTCCCGCCCTGTGCCATCGATTTTATTTATTTATTATTTATGTATTTATTTATTTATTATTTGCCATTCGCTTAGCTAGCCTGTGCTGCAGGGGAAATCCCTTCCCGGGCCCAATGCGCTGCTTGCTCTAAAAATCAGCAGACGTGCCCCCCCCCCCCCCCCACCCTTTGCAACCCCTGCCCCCTTATTGCCACCCACCCCCCCCCGGGAAACAAGGTTAAAACCGCGCTTCCCCCTCTCCCCGGTTGGGCTTCGCACCACCTTTGCTTCGCTCAGCTTTGCAGTCTCGGCTGCAGCAGAGTCTCTATGTAAAAGAGAAGGCGCCCCCCCCCCAATGCCCCCCAGATGTTGAGGGTGGCATCCCAGCTGCGCCCTTCTGCCTTCTTGGCCTGACTCGAAGAGACCTTGCCACGCATTACCCAGGGGGTGGGAGTGTGTGTGCGGGGTGGGGGTGGGGGGCTGGGGTGGGTTGAAGACCCCCCTCTGGATGAAACGAACCCAACGGCTTGAATTGCGCCCACCGACCCACCCGGCCAACGCCCCCTTCCCACGCCCAGCGGGGCACGTCCAGAGGACCGTTTCCAACGCGGAGCCCCCTC